CGTACCGTATTCTTGTTTGGGTGTGGTCACACCATGCACATTTCGTGTGACACACACCGCTGTTACCAGGGTACGTGTAACCCCGTTACACCATCCCCCATTAAGATTGATAAAAGAAACAGTTTCAATCGATTATTGCCTCGATGAGGCTCGCGAGTCCGCTAGACGGAATAAAACGACTTCCTTGCCCAATGCGCCCTGTGTCCACGACACGAAAGTCACCAAGTCTCGCTGGTTCTGACAGCGAGCACGGGCAGAGCCCAACATTGTCTCCCGCACGCGGTGCGATGTACGTCCTAGGCTCGATGAGAACGAGCGTCGCGCTTTGCGCACGCTATCAATGACGTGTGACCTCGTTGAGGATGTGGAGGTGGTCTACTACTTGTCTGACACTCCATTTCCTGCATGGTATGACGAGGAAGCCAGCAGCGTGATACGAGCCCTGCTCGTTCCTTGCGGACCCCAAGTCGTTTCCTGACTTTTTGTCAATTGGAAAAAGTGTTGTAATCACCAATGACCTCGATGGACTCAGAGGCGACAGCTTGATGCTGCCCATAAGGCGGCTCTAAAGCGCGCCCATCCACGGACGGTCATTGACCCTCGTGTGGAATATGGCGCCCTGCGGATCCCGCTGCGGAAGCAAAGGACGCGGTACTCGATCGTTACGCGTCCACTTCATCGGGCCCCAGGACAGAACGAAAGATAAACTTGCCACACGGGAAGCTCTCCGAGCTCGTTTCTTGGTCCCACAAGAAATTTTGTTGGACGTTTATTGCACGCGTCTACGTGCTCAACAAGGTAGCTCTCGTGTACCCGCAATGCGGACGATACCTGTGGTGCTCGCCCCTGGCGAAAGCACTACAGATGACGAAGCGCTCTTTGAGCGATGAGTGCAGCGTTACCGAAAACTTTTCTCACTGTATAAACTACAGTTGAGTCACAAGGAAGTGAACGTGCGTGTGGAGCGACAACTCCGATTTGAGTTTGCAAACTCAAGGCACGCCATCGACTTCCTTCGGATTATCGCCCTGTGACGTATGGGTTTACCCCTAATGCTCCCGCGATCTCTGTGTCTTTGACTGCAAGAGCTCAGGGCCACTGCTTGAGCTCAGGGTCACTGCTTGAGCTCAGCTCATGGCCCGTCTACCTCCCTGGCTATTGCCGGGAAGCTCGGGGCGTCTGATGTCGCGGGAAGTCCTGATCTTTACGATCAAAAGCGTCCACGGCGACTGGGCAATCTTGCCAAAGTGGCGCCTCAAAATCCCATGCGTTTTAGGAGTCGGGATATCCCCGCCACTTCACTAGATATTGGGTTTGACCCTGGTGACGACGTCGTCCAACACGACGTTCCACGTGATAGTGGAAGCCACCGTTCTCATCGAGAAGAGTCGGAGGCGGGCGGTGATGACCGGGTCGACCGCCGTTCGGTGAATCATGCTGCTCTTCGAGCCCTTGAGGACGAGGTCCTTCGCGATCAGCGCTCCGCTGATCGTCATACTGAAGTAGCATATCGCTGTGCAAACGCTCTTGACGAATAAAAGCACGTCGTGCGCCGGCTGCTTCACCTTGAGGACTACCGCGCTCTGTCGGAGCGACTCCAAGCCGTGGAGCGGGTTCATCCGTTGACACGTCTCACACGTGCT